TATATTAGAATCATTATTATTATGATTGTGATGTATCTTGTGAAATACATCAGATATCTCTAAAATTGTACACTCAATCATCAGTTTTTGGAAAACTATTATTGTATATAAAATACATCAGATATCTCTATTGTACATTAGAATCCTTATTGTAATGATTGTGATGTATCTTGTATGCTCAATTATTGGAAAAGTCATTGGAAAAATTATTTCTAATTTTATAAAAATATATGAAATACATGAGACATCTCTAGAATCATACACTCAATCATAGTTTTTGGAAAAATTATTTTTAATAGGATAGAAGTATACGAGACATCTCTGATGTATGTTAGAATCATTATTGCAATGATTGTGATGTATCTTGTCAATGTCTCGAACATGATTTCACTTGTACTCCGATATACATCAGAATCGATTCTCATTGACTCTTTTTTTTTCACTAACTGATTCCTTTTACACGTCAGACAAACTACAAAGCAAGCTGCAAACTTTAATTACATTAAATTTTGATTCCACAATAATAATTTGATTACAATTTTCGAGGGACTTTTACTGTACTACTAAAAAAATTGATTCTTAATTTTTCTAAGCCTATATAATCTAGATTCCTTATCAGATAATGATTTCATTCAATCGAAAATAAATTTTCTCAGTCGAATTTCACAAATTCCAATCAATTTAATTCTTACTTTTTCATCTGAACATACTCTCCAGCAAGATATATTTCAATTGTTGTTTTGAATTTTTAAAAGTTTCTCTATTACTTTTAAAAATTACCTTCGCAACTGTCGCTTGGCCAGAATCAGGGCCATCAGCAGGAAGTTCGCTCCCATGCCCAGAGCGCCGAGGCCGAAGATGAGGCTGGCCTCTGTCGCGCCCCCTGGATGACACTGGAACACCTTGGTCGCGTTTGACGACGCGTTACCCGATGCGCCGATCCCAAATCTCAGATTGGCGCCTATCATTGCCATCAATTCGACCTGTTTCGACAGATTTTCACTCTCCATTATCCCTTCGCTACTTATTCCATTCGATTTAACCGATGTTGGGGGACCAAGAACCATTTTCGTCCCTCTTTCCTCCCCCCTTTTTTAAAAAATCGTATTTTTCCTCGAGAAAATTTTCATTCATTAAATCAATAGAAATTAATTCTCAATTTGAAATATCCTACATTTATATTGATTATCGTAACGCGTGAAATAAATATTTCGGTTCATTTTTGTTTTTGAAAAGAAATATAAGAAAAAAATTTGTTACAAAATCTTTTGTGGCAAAAGACTCGTAATATATATCCGGTAATTTTATCGTGATAATAAGATTTATTTCGAGATTACGAGAAACAAAATAATTTATTTGCGTATATAATATTCATATTATACGGGTATCAATTACAAAAGTAATTAAACTTGGTTCACGTGGGCGATGATCGAGCAAACGCGGGCTGATGTGCGATGTGGTTGCGGGATATACAATGCGGGATTCAGAAGCATAAACAGAATAATTAGAGAGCGAGCGCGACGAGCGTGTCCTCGAACGTTGTTCTAATAATTTATAACTCTCTCGAAAATAATATCCTTCCTCTTTCTATCTCTTTTTTCTTTTTTTTTTTAACGCGAATAATCCATCTCCCGATAGATTTTAAGCGAAATTGAAATCTTGTACCAACCGTATGTAATTAATCCCCGGCCAAAGTTAAACCAGATTTTTAACCAGATTCGTCACGGCAACTAACACGGCAACGGTCCAATGTATTCAAAGACTGTAACACGTAAAGTTTCACGGTGGTGGCGCTTGCCTCGCGTTACATATTCATCGGTTTAACCTTTAAACTTCGTCTGCCTCTCTACTCTGCGGCAAATTCACGTGTTCGACGACTCGATATTCATCTTTCACTCGAGTTCCAACATCTTATAAGAGACGTTGACTTGTTAACCAAACTTTGTAACCAAATAAATTATATGGATATTTCGAAAATGTTAAATCGACGATACGAAGATGTTTGCAACCGAATAACTACGTTATTGTTATTAAATTTCGTTTTTAATGGTGTGTAATTCTTAGAAAATCATTTTTTTTTAAACAATTTCGAAAATGAAGTGAATAATAATATAAAAGTGAAGTTAAAATTGTTTGAAATTCTCATTGTTTGCAGTGAAGATAAAAGTTATTTTATTCAAAGATGATAAATCATTTAGGAAATTCGATAAGGGCTTAGAGATTAATTTGTTCCTTCAATAGCAATAGCGATAGAAATATAAAGGATTCAGGAGAAACGCAATTCACAATTCGAGAAATCTTGTAAATTAACACGTGCAACAAAGTTAGGTTAGGTTATACGCTTCCTACGAAAAATTGCTTAATTTTCTTCTTCGTCATGTCTTTTCTCTCTAAATCGATTTGCCTGCACATTTGCATTAGATTAAAGAATTTGACACGATGGATAATTTAAAGATTTAAACTTTATATATAATATTATATACATATATGTTTAAACAGCTCAAGGGATTCTAAGACGTGCTGAATACGTTTGCGCTTGAATGTCACGCTACGCATCTGGTATAAACATGTGACGTTTGCGTAATACGATTTGTGGACGGAGTTCGACCGTAGTTTGTTGGTTGACGAGTTGTGGTTGTTGGTAGTTAAGTTACTTGGTCTTCGTCGCGCTTGTCAAAAAGTTAAACTCGTGCTGCGTATGAAATTCGATTTTAAAAATGTATTTTCTTTTCTCACGACTTAGAAATTTTTATCCTTGTTTTCAAATATAACGATACTAATATAACTTTAATTGACAAGCGTAGAATATAAAAAAGAAAAAAATGAGTGAAGATATTTTCCGTCGTGAATTTTATATCGAAATAAATATGGAATAATTATTTACTTCTCGTAACGTAAGTCTTTCGAGTTATAAATTATTGTTCTCCTTGAAACACTTTAGCCAAGTCTCTCGATAAGGATTTTAAAGAGAAAGGGAAACTGTATTAATGACTTGGAAGTTTCTTAAAGTGTCCCCAACTTTATTTTCATCAAATTTGAATCGTTTCATTACAGATTCTCTCGTTTGAATAAATTAAAATTTAAGATATCGTTTCTTCGTATACCATTTTTGAGAAATCGTTAGAATTTTGTGTAATTATTTTAATCTCGACAAAAGGAAGAAAAAAATCGATTTTCCGAGACGTTAATGGATATCGAGAAGGTTAAACAATCCTCGATTTTTTTACAATTATTAGATCTTGAAATTGATGTTTTTGTAATATATTTTCGAAATTTTAACGACTAACGAGATTCCAATCGACACATTTTTATAAAACTTTATGATTTCAGCGCGAAGAAATTCTTCGAATGCTGCGATTCCAATTTCTCGAGTGTCCAATAT